GGCCAGTTTCCCACAGTAAGTCCTCCCAGGAGACATCCTCCCTCAGCAGATTGCCCATGTGTTGCATTGCCATAAACAATCCATTCAATGCAACATAGCATTTTCTCATTCAATACTTAAGACTTCATTTGTTCTTAGGTAAAACCTTTGAATTTATTCATTGTAGAGGACTCAAATGCTATTAAATGGTTGGGCATGGCCTCCATAAATTCTAGACTTAACATGTGAGAATTTGTTTTTGGACATTGAGAAAAAATCTTTCAAAGTCTGCTTTACAACAGTTAAACATCTAAAAATACACTGCTTGAATGACTTATTATCTTAAGTATTAACAAGATCCATAAATAATTGACAAAAAATTAAATTTTATCTAAAGAATGGAGGTATACAGATCTTTTAAACTAATGTGTGTAACCTAAAAGTGCTAAAGTTTTTGAATATTTTCACTACAGAACAATCAATTTAAATTGAATTCTTCAACCAATGTACTTCAGTTACAGAGCAAATCACAAGACTTATCTGAAGTTGAGAGTTGACATGGGCAAAATTGCAGTTCTGAATGAGAAATTTGAACTACCCCTGGATGATCAAGTCAGAAGAATCCTCTCTCTGTATGTAACCCTTGGCAAGATATTCACCTCCAAAGTTTTTGTGATAGGGCTGCTTAATAAGCATAACAGGCACACAGAGTAACTCCAATCAAGCCCCTGAATTAGTTGGTGGAATGGAGTTTGTGTTTTTTACGTTTTTAGCTGTCTCTAGTAAACAGTTGATTTTTAGCATTGTTTGAGAAATAATCTGGATCTTTTCACTTTTAAATTTAATTGATTTTGAGGGTCTTGAAAATTCCATATAGATAAATTTCAGAGGAGCTGCATCTTACAAAGGGTTACTATGACTCTTTTACTCCTACAACCACGGTATACAGCTCTAACAAGATCCCAACAGCCTCATTCAGACCTGCATTTGTACCAATACCTGTAATTATACAGCATCTGAGACCTATATATAAATAAAATTGTTACAATATTCTCCTTTAATCAAGTATTACTACAAGAAAAAAAAGCCATATATGTGCATGAAAATATTGATTAACATATAACTAAAGGGTTTGGATGTTTGTATTTGTTAATTTTAATTTGCAATATTCTAAAAATTTTTTTTTTAAAACATTTTTGACATTTATTATATTACAAAATTATGTTTAGAGGTATAATTATCTACTACTACACTGTAACAGATTTTACTCAAAACAATTATTAAAGAAAAACTGTTTATTCTTTTTAATTTTTATTGATTTCTAGGTCACGTAATTATATACTTTACTGTAATAATAACAATGAAATTATTTCCAATCACAATAGATAAATTATTAAAAAAGTTGAAGATTAAAAATAATTAATATATTTAAATCATGAATATGATACTAATAGTCGTAATTCTCTGTATAAATGAAACTATTTACCTATTTTCTTATATAACAAATATGTTTCTCTTAGAAATATTACATATGTTACTTAATACAAGGTTAGTCAAAAATAATGTTGACAACTTTGACAATTTATTTCAAATTAATTACATAGATTATGACAAAAAAGTTGACAAAGGCTCTTGCTCAATTTTCCCTTCACTCGAACTAGAGGTTAAGACATTAAGAAGTCCAATAATTTTTGGTGTATAATTTAAGTAATAAAAAAGCTTAAAAGGAGCAATTCTGTTAAATTATGATAAAAAAATCTCCATTTAAAAAAAATGTTAGTTTAAAAAAAAAGCACTTTGATACTAGTCCAAAGTTAAAAAAATTTATGGTGTCATCTGTTAGGAGATATTATTAAAAAATAACTCATACCATTAATTATTATAAAAGGTAGAAAACTGTTTAATTTTGAGGGTAGAGAGAAGTTTTTAAAATATTGTAAATACCATAAACAAGTAAAATTTTCATTACATCTGACCACACTTAAGATATTAGACATGACCCCCCTTCTATCTCCCACCTCCTTGCCTTTAACCTCCAAAACTTAGCAGTATCAATATCCTTTATACACAAGTTACCATGCCAAATTTCATTTCTTGAGCTTTACTCTATCCTGAGATGTTAATTAAACAAAATAGACACCCAAACAAATGGAATTTTTCTTTTTTTTTGACTATTTTAGGTTCAGGTCTCAAAATGTCAAGATTTGCAAAAAGCCTGGAGGGTCAAATTTGATACAATTACAATAGTTTCCTGTGTTATAACAGCCAGAAAAGTAAAAGTATCAAATTAAAACATAAATATCATTTTCCACAGTATTTTTCTTTAATACTGGCCTAAAGTATCATCTTGTACAAATCATTACAATTAATTTATGCCACATTTTCTCTAGCATATTTTCATCAGTCTGAGTGATAGTTTGTATGGTATGTGATTCTTAAATGCAGGATCCTCACGTCTGGCACTTTTGTAGTGTATGCACAATCCTTGACACACGCCAAAGAAAAAAAACTTCACAGAGATGATGTCAAATGATTGAGTAAACCAAGAAATGGGACACCAGCAATCTAGATCATGTAGCAGTGAAGGTCCAGATCATCACTGTGCAGCAGTAACAGCCCTTTCAAGCATGTGCACATGAAACGTGGAGTAATGGTCAACATTCTCCGGTTTAAGAATGTTGACCATTATGAAGCATGAGTTAAAATTCCACAAAATATTTTTTTGAATATACTTCCTATAAATATTACAAAAACTTCAATTGTATTCTCTAATCTTATAAAGCATTCTGTAAAGGTTAAACAGGTTATTGATTTTGTCTCAATTCAATATAATTCTATATATATAACTACAAAAATTAAATCAATAATTTTTCTGTTAGAATTTCCTAATATGTTAGTATTTAAATTTAGAAGTAAGTGTAATTAATAGGTAATTCAAGCTGATTACACAATTCTCTGAATTTATATCTCTCTTTAGTGCTGTGTGTTCAAATATTTTCTTATTAGACTGGATAACAATTTTAACAATATTAAAAACACTTATCATTTAGCAAAAGTATAGACAATATTAAAAATATATGAAGATATTTTTAAATGAATAAGCATGGATTTGATAATGAAAGTATGTATCATATTTGAGGTGGACTTAAAAAACATAGGCTAGTTTCCTCTCAGATAGTTGGTACACATACAATGCACATATGCACACAACACTTGTTTAAATGTAGTAATAACATTTAACATAATATAGTCTATGTTTAAATAGTCTAAAAAAAGTAATACTTTAGAAAGAATTAAAAATTAAAGATACAATTTAAGAAGCTTGCTTCTTAATGAAATGATACAAGAAAGAGTCCTTTGTATAAGGCAAAAATACTAAAATCACTGGTTCACATTACACATACATAGTAAATATAGTAATGTTGTCCATGTTGCTTGCATCAGTCATAAAATCCTATAAAACTGTTTTTTTTTTTTTTTAATTAAAGTGTTATTTTGCTGCATACCCGTAAGAAACCTTAAAGATATCATCATCTATGATATTATAAACATGAAAATGCTCTTCATTAGCTGCAATGTTTTGATTGAATAATACATTCAATCAAAACATTGCAGCTAATGAGTATCATCCATTAGTATAATTACATTCAAAGAGGAAAGTTTCTGATAGTTAACACCATTTAAAAAATCCACAATCAACAACTCTGCATTTGTTACAAAGGAGATGAACATGGCAAAACTGGAAAATGTAAAGCTGGATTAGGAAATAAACAAGTAAATATGCCATGCCAGGAATAGGATGATGAAGTATTTCAGACCTGCTAGAAAATACTATTAGTTCTTCCAAAGTGATAGTAGTGAGAACAAAAAGCAGAGACAAAAGACAAAAACAAGTGCACAAACTGTGTAATATTGTCTATGCAATACACACTAAAAAGTCTATTGTCCCTTGCAATAGTGCTCATTTAACGGTAGTGTCATAAGCAGTAAGAATGTGGTGTAAAATAAAATATTTCCATTCAACACAGCATTATACATAATAAATTTCATTTTAGCTTATTATTCATGGTTTCCTCTCTATATTATTTACATCATTAATATTACAAATTGCATGATATAGACAAAAACATTACAACAGCTTATATCTTATGAATACTATAATACGCTTCTTGTCTAGTCTTCTCAATGGTTAGTGAGCGCTAAGATTGGCTTTACTTTACTTCTAGACTTATTACACCACCACAGCTTATATCTTGCTTCTGCTACATATCATAAGTGCACAAGAGTATAGTTAATCAGTAATGGGCTATTTGAGAGGAAGTATATCATCGAAAAGACTAAAATCTCATGCACTTGTATTTAGCTAATATAGAGCAGAAGCAAAATATAGTCTGTTGCAATATTTTTATCTATATCCTTTATATGTTTATAACATAGGTTATAGGCATTACTGTATGCAAGTTTATATGATTATAATAACAATGTATAAATAACTTCAATATTAATTTGTAAAATTTTTTCTTCAGGAATCCAATCATTAGCAGATCACTGGAAAAAGATATGTCAAATGTAATAGAATTGCAGAGTGGTATGCTTAGTTTCCTTTTTGTATTTAAATGGTAGTCATAATATATGGAAAACAAAACTTTCTGATAAACCAAATTTATATATATAAAAAAAATTCTAAATAATCTGTCAATTTTTAAATTAATTTATAAGGTACTGGAATAAAACAATTAGCAAGACTGAAACCCACAATTGCTGCTTACCATGCAGATGTAATGCCAATTATGATACCTCCATCTGATCTTCGCTTCCAGAACTATTGTATTTAATAAGAGATGGTCCCTAACACCTACTCAAATTACTTAGCATTTAATTACTAATAGTAACAGTAATATAACTCAATCTAATCCAACAATCATTTGACTTTAACTATCAGACTTACATATATCTATATTTGTATAATTTTTAGTAATTAGCAATTGAAACAAACAGTCTTAATTAAAGAATAAATTACTATTTTTAATTTATTACTTTACACAGCATATAACTTGATCCAGTTTTGTTCAAACCAGTCATAAAATAACCATAGAATGATTCAATAAATGAATGAGTTTACATATAAGAAAGCTAACATTTGAAAAATACATTTATTACAAAAAATACTGACAATTTATCTTCCCATATAACAGAAATATTCACTTTGTAAGCACAAACAGTATTAGACTTTCAACAAATTATATTTTCAGAAAAAATTACAATAACAAAAGCTATAAAATTCATTACTAAACATTAAAAAATCAATAAACTGTCATTCAATTTATACAAAGAATTCCAAAAAATTATTTTAAACACTATATTTTATAAAGTACTTTCATCAGAATGACAGACAGACTGAATTAATAGTCTCGTAATTTTGAGCAATTGTAATTATTAAAATTCTTACAGAATATATTTTATTATAAATATAAAGACTAAGATAAAATAATAGCAATATATTAAATTTCAATGAAAATAAAACTAAAGTTGTGTAAATTTGTAATAGTTAAAAATTATCACAAAGCATAAAAGTAAAAACTCCTTCAGATTTTTACTTCAACTTAGATTGTCGTTAAAAAATAGATTCTGAAAAAAAAAAAAATAAGTGCAAATATACTCACGTGTTAACTGCATTTACATTTTGTGTACCTTGAAATTAAGTTGAATTAATCAAAAAACATTAAATAATATTGATTTAAAAACAGAAAACATGGCAAATGTCAATCGGGATACACGGTCGTTTTTGAATTTTCGATACACGAATATAAATATGTATCTCTTCTCTAAAGAAAACTAAAATTTGAAGAATAGTTGTATTTATATTAATTAAATAATTATCTTCTTTATATTATATATATCACATGTTAAACGACGGTATAGTTCGAAAGCTTTGTCTCTCGACAGCATTCAATAACCTGTACAGACGGAAAGTCTTGTTTTGAAATACTAGCTTGAAATAGGTAGAATATGGTGGCTTCATGTGTCTGATGGCATCACAGAATAATGGAACCGCCTTGGCATCTACATTTGAATAAATTTGTGCGTTGTGCAGATCCATAATTTCAGGTAGACTGCATCCTTTGCGACGTGGCGACAGACAAATGCTGTCTTCCAAAATAATATAACTTGCACCAATATCATGTAGTATCTTATATACATCTTCTGCTGGTCGGTGAGCATACATTTGGTAAACCTATACAAATCAAATCAGAATACTGATTATATTTTAAAATTTTACTTTATTCTAATTAATCAATAGAGTTCAATTATTATCTTAAAATACAATAAAAACACTAAATACATACACATTCTTAATGGAAAGCTAAAACAAAGCAATGAAGTAGTATAAGAATTAAAAACATCATACTTATTTAGAGTATAGAGAAACATGTGTATTAAAAGTAACAAACTAGATATCATCATACAGAAAATAAATTTTTCGACAATAAGTATCCTAGTATTTTTAGTATAGTGAAGAAATGTGAATGAAAATATCAAATGATTCCATTCAAGAAGCCTCTCTGCTTATAGTTTTCCCAACACATCAGTCCTTCTAACATTGAAATTATCCTTAGAATTCACTCATATAATCCTTAACCACTTCTCATATTTGCTTTATCCTCCATTACATTTTGTAGGTCCATTTCACTTTTATACTGATTATCATTCCAAAACACATCTAGCCTGACTCATGACTAAAGCTAAGACATCTAGACACTAAAAATCACACAAAGTATAGTTATAAAAATCATATAAGTTAAGATTTTTATAACAATTTATATGATTTTTAATGCCTAGAAGTCTAAGCTCTACAAAGTCATGACAGGTAGGTCCTTCTGAAGATTTTATCCCTTTCAAAAACACTGGATATGGTTACTATTAATTGGGCTTTTACCATCCATCCTCTAGATTAGATTTATGCAGTGATATCAGTTTATGTAAGAAAACTGATAATCTAAGGATTTGCTTATTCTATAACTACTCCAGCATCTGAAAAATTTCTGTCTTCATTTTGTGGATGTTGAGGGATTATGACACAGATAGATGCTAGTAGTAAGCTGCATAACCTGTTTTATTTTGTCCTAGCAAAAAAAAAAAATTGAGTATTGTTATAAAAAAAAGCAAATACATATGCCATTCTGAATCTACAAGTTTAATAAAATCAGCAAAACTTTTCTATTTTTTAATTTCAACACTAATAATTTCAATTATTAGTTTTATAGTTAATTTGGTGATGCAAAACATTAAATACACATCAATAATAATTCCCAGCAAATTCAACTATATTAAAAAAAATGAAATGCAGCTAGGCAACAAGCAGCTAAACAAACTAATGACATAGTCCATTATATATGAAATGAAACACACCATTGATTTGCTTATTTAGCTGCTTCTACATATCCATGATGTCACTACAGTTATTTTCTTTTCTATTCCCATTCAACTATCTCCCATTCCTAGATAGTCAATATTAGGGTTTCTGAAACGGGATTCCGGGATCCCAGTTGTTTTTTTAACCCGGGAAATATCCCGGGAAATTTTTCTTATCCCGGGAAATCCCGCAAATTTCTTAAAAATTCACTTTTTTTCTTATTTTGTGTTAAGGTTGAGGAGTTTTGCAAATAGAAAGCATAATTAACTCATTCACTGCCAGAATACATTTGTATTTATTAATTTTAAACGTACCTATTAGTTTTTTTAAATTTTTGCTCGTTATAGCATGTCACAAATGGTCAATAATCAATATATAGCTTATTTGTGGCATGACTATAAAAATTCTTTACTTGTCAGAACCTGTAATATCTGGAATAATTGTGCTTACGCTGTCTTGAGTTTTAACCATGCCCAGTAGCTTCAATAAATGCCTGACACCAGATTGTGCAAATTGGGCAAGGATACAAACGAGTACAAAGTCTGCAAGTATGAAGTTTTTCTTCATAAACCTGATTATTAAAGCCAAATGAATTGCCGAATTATCGAGCTCTAAGCTTGATGCCGCTATTAAAGCAGCCAAGGTAGACAAATCAAGAATACTAGAGAGCGAAAGAAGTACTACAATCTCGAAAACGAACTCGAAAGCTTCCAGGCTACAGGTGAAAAAACACATAATATCTGTCTTCTCTTAAATGCATTAAACACTATTCCAATCACATCAATTGAATCGGAAAGGGCATTCTCGGTGGCAAGACTTTTCATTACTAAAATAAGAATTAGAGTGAGTTATCGGAGTATTGACCATCTTTGCTTTTTAAAATCTTATAAAAGTTTGCAATATTTTGTATTATATTTTATTTAAAAAACGAAAATTACCTTCTAAATTAGAAGTTCATTTTTTTAATTTTTAACTCAATTCAAAACATTTTTTTTGTTGTTGTTGTATGCAGTTTCCAGCAAACTTTAATTAATTTTTTTCTATTTGTGAAAATTTCTACGTTATTTAAAGGCAATTTTTATTATAGGCCTATAGACCTAACACAGCATTATTAATATGATTTTGGAGGTTACAAAACTTTAAAATTACTTTAAAAAATGGAAAATAATTATATCATTTGATTTCAAGATATTTTGTATACCTTAAAAATAATTAACTCTATCCCGGGATTCCGGGAAACAGTTCACTTTTATCCCGGGATCCCGGGACAAGCAAAATACCGGGAAATGAGAAACCCTAGTCAATATAATTAGCCAAGATCACTATTAATCCTACAATGAATACATAACATAGATAATTATTTTCTAACCCTATCCAAACATTATCTTATCCTATAAGATTGATAAATTCTGAGACAATTTTAGATTCATACAATATCAAATATAATATGATTCACTAGATAAGATGATAAACAGTGGTATCATATCATTTTTAATACATGTTCTTAACTCATTTCAATCTATTTTTTTTATAATGACTGGTACTATTCAGCACTTACATGAGTGAATTTTCTGGAACACTATATTGAAATATACGGTAGGACCTGTTTAAACTGGAATTGACAGTATTGAATATCTTTTCCAGTTTTGCAGGTTTCCTTTTTAAACATAGAAAATCACTCTGTTCTTCAGAACTTTTTCTATTTAGGCAGGTTTCTGTTTTATTCAGGTTCCATTTTGGACAGGTTTTACTTTATAATATAAAGTCGCTTCTTGTGTATTCCTAATTTACACAATTTTTAGAAATTATCTACCAAGTAACATGGAGCATTTGCAATATTTTAATTTTTTTTTATACAGGAATTAATATTACATGATGTTCTCAACAACTTTCAATAAAGTTAATTCTTGACTGATAGTGTCATCCCTACAAACACTACATGTGGAATGGGGTTATAATTACCATTCACTAATAAAAAATCAAATGTACAATTACCAAAATTCAAACAAAACTCATCTAGTTTCCCATTTCAGTGCAGTTATTTGTTGTGTATATTAGTTTATTTATATTATTGTAATACTATGTCAACAAGGTATCATATTACAAACATCAAATTTCAAACAGTGCTAAATCTATTCAATTTCATCCTACTGGTATGCCATTAATTGTTTTTGTTAGTAGGAAGTGTCATCTATCAACATAGGCAAACAGGATTTCCTCTTTCCTAGCTGTTGCCTGAAAATTTGGTCAGTGCCATACCTCAAGTATAAATAATAAAATAATAAGAAAACTTAACATCACTAAGTTCATAGCTTCGTAACTCGATTCTTTCTTAATAAAATTTTAAAAAGTCTTTTGTCTTTTGAAGCATTCTCTTTATTCTATACTGGACTTCTTGGTGCATTATCGTATAATTTAAATTGTATTTTCAGGAACACAACTTCAATTTACGGCAATGAGCTTGAAATAAATAACAGTTTGACTCATTATAGCTCACATTTAATGATAGTTTTCCAGAAACTAATTAAATTGTGAACTTGGAGATTTAATCTACTATACTTACTTGCATTCTGAAATTTAAAAATATTATATCTAATTACATACTTTTTATAGTATTCATCATTAGACTTAACAAAATTCAACTGGAAAAGAAAATTTTTATTTGATTTATGATTTGAATAAACAAACAAATAGCACTGCATCACACAATAATATCTAATAAAAATCAATAAAAACACTGCTTCATACAAGCAAATTCTTTTTTAACCAACCTATTTTGGTTTTCATTGATCCATTTTAATATAATATAAATGCATACAGTACAAGTTATTAAAAAAAAAACAGATTATTTTTTTATTATTAAATGAAAAGAAAAGAATGTCACTCAAGAAATCTTTGTTCTAAAGTTTTTCTGTTATATACAGTAAAACATGCATAAACCAGAATCAAACAGTACCAAATATATTTTCTGGTTTAGCAAGTTTCCGTTTTGAAAAAATTTTTTTTAACATAGAAAATTGTTCCGTTTTGAAGAATTTTTCTCATTTAAACAAGAAACCTACAAAAATTATTTTTTTAAATAAATGAAGGAATACTGTACATAATTATATTCTTTAAGCTATTTTAAAATTGCTTACTTTCAAATTCAGTTCAAACCATTTATTTTCTGCTCAAATAAAACAATTTTAAGATAAGAATCAGTTTAGTTAATGCATGAATCTATACTATTATTATAAAGAGGTAATGTTTGTATGTAAGTTTGTATGCAGCAGGTAATCTCCGAAACTACTCATCCGATTTCAAAAATTCTTTCACCAATATTCAGAATGGAACTTCAGGGTGGATATAGGCTGTATATTACTCCGTTAAACATTCATATAAATTAAAAGATATAATCTAGGTTAAGGCTTTTATGTCCAACAGATGGTGCTACGAGTACGACGCCCTAAGTTTGCTTTTCTGTGAGGCATTATGCTTTTCTGTGAAAATGAACTAAAGCAGATCATCTATCTATCTATATAAATAAAAATGTAATGTTCGCTTGTTCCTACCAATTCCTTTGAAATTTTGACACAACACTGCATTCGAATACGCACGTGTTTTTATATAATATACATGTCGAAATTCAACTCCACTGAAGGGAGATGGTTAGGATTAAGGCTTACGGTATAGAACTCTGCTTCTATTTATACTATTTTAGATGCGGGTTTTTTGCGTTTTTGATTGCATTTTAATAGGGTACATCAACAAAATGTACACTAAGAAGAAATTTTCCGAAAAATTTTCCCCCACGGGGGAAGTATTATAAATTTATAATAGATACATTTTGAGCCACAACAACGCTTGGCGGGGTCTGCTAGTATATTAATATAATACAATGAACTATTCTCAAAAACCTAATTCCATTAACAAATATATAAATGGCTTCAGTAGTTTAGGATTGTCAAAGCAAAAGCATCCGATATTATAAAAGAGATACAAATGCCACTCTGAACGAGGCCTTATCAGAACTGTACACCATGCTAACAGGAGTACTTTACTAGGGATGACAAAGCTCATAAAATACAACACCGTTGAACCAGCTACTTCCATGGCATGATTGGAGTGATGATTTGCCTTCTGATATTCAGGGGGGGGCTATATCTCATGAAAGATCACATGTAGACCATAGGTTCCTTTATTTCTTTACTCCTACAGACATGGTCTATAGCCCCAATAAAGGTCTAACCACCACATTCAGAGTTGCATTTGTACCATTACAACTGTGGATTGAAATCACAGTTGTTCTTTTGGCACTTGTACAGATTACGGGGTACGGTTATTTGAGAGGTTTACTTCCATAAAATTAACTAAATCTAGACTAATTTTCACTCGAATATTTCCAAAACACGTATAATTTGTTGAAATGATCGATATAAAATATGCTATGAACAAAAAATTGTCGGAATACTTATCGAGTGTACCCGTTCGAAGACGCCATTGCTTAAGCTTGTTTTCGTCGCGGAACGGCACATTCTTCGTACGCGTCCGCTTCCAATGTGTCGGTGCTATTCGGTCACGTGACTACTCATCTCTGACGTGTTCCTGATAACTTATTCTTTTTGCGAAGAATTCACTGAACTTTAGAGACATCATTAACAGAAATATTAAAACTTCATTCCATTCTAAATATGGATTAAAATCAACATATAATAACGTATGATAATGCGATAAATAACTAATAATTCTGTTCTACTTTTCAATGGTCTAATCTCTCATGTCGTAAACAAAATTGTATAATATTTATTTACATCGACATTAGACATCTTATGTTGCATCTGATTAATATTTATCATCATTATAATATATATCATGATAGAATTGTTGTCGTTAGCGAGTGGTTTTTCCTTTGCTGCTTCATATAGTCAATAATAATAATAAGTCGTTTTTAATCATAATATACTATAGATTTTTTATTGTAATCTATCACGTGATGTCTCTAAAGTTCAGTGAATTCTTCGCAAAAAGAATAAGTTATCAGGTACAGTACATGTCAGAGATGAGTAGTCACGTGACCGAATAGCACCGACACATTGGAAGCGGACGCGTACGAAAAATGTGCCGTTCCGCGACGAAAACAAGCTTAAGCAATGGCGTCTTCGAACGGGTACACTCGATAAGTATTCCGACAATTTTTTGTTCATAGCATATTTTATATCGATCATTTCAACAAATTATACATGTTTTGGAAATATTCGAGTGAAAATTAGTCTAGATTTAGTTAATTTTATGGAAGTAAACCTCTCAAATAACCGTACCCCGTAATCTGTACAAGTGCCGTTCTTTTAGCGTGGCAATATTTTTGGCTTCATAAATAATTTACATATCAGGATTTATAATTTAATTATTTGTTTATTAAGATATAAGAAATTAATGTGTTCTGGTTTAAGAATATATTGTAAAGCATATCATTTCTTGTTTTGGACAAAAATTGAAGTATTTTTCCATTTATAAACTATACATAAAATTAATTACTCCAAGAATGAATTGACAAAATCTAAAAATATTTAGTTACTCAGAATCTACTCATATAAATTAATATTTAATCAACTTAAAATGATTTACCTGTTCAGTTCTATTCCTTAACCATTTATCTTCGAAATGAGGATGATTAGTTATAGGACGTCCAGTACATAATTTTACTCCAGCTAAAAGTTGCATACTTCCTGAAAATGCTGCAGATGGTGAAGTGTTATCTTTGATCCATTCCATCAGTTGAACTGTATCAGGATCCCAAAATTCCTTCAAATCTGTTAATTCGGTCAGAACGGATAAATGCAACTGATATGCAACTATACCCAAAATGACAAACTGAATCACAGTCGAAGCTATGCTGACGAATGTCGATTTTTGACGGAAATTGCCCCAAAGACCTACTTTCGATAATGTGAGGGGTGCGAGAGCACAAACAAACGGTACCCAAAGAAACTTCATTCTAAGAGTAAAAGCTGCCATTATACCTAACAATACACTGAAACCTGTTAAAAATACAATATCGACATTGTTTCGAATCCACTGCGACCAGCGATACCTCATGTTACGAAAGGAAGATTTCGATGTCATATCATCTTTATCTTCCAATAGATAACATATTCCAGCAATTCCAATAACTATGATGTGAAAAACATACAGAGGAAGTACAAAATTTCTTGTCATTCTCCAATAGGCATCGGTATCAATTATATTAAATCCTGAGTTACAGATATATAATTTTGTTTCAAAGTCACTTGTCGTCTCCCGTAACAATCTCACTTTTAAAAATTTAAAAATATGTTCATCTGAATCTATTTTCAAAACAAATTTAATTAATTTGTTAAGAAAAAGTGTACTACTAAACACAGTAATTAAATGTAAAATAAATGCAATTTTCTTGGATACAAAGTTGAGAGAGAATTCACTGACATATAAAGATGTTATAGAAATCGGAATGAAACTTAATACTAAAGAACCGATGAGCATTTTCTGATTGAACTGTACAAAAATAGTTAGCATTAACGAAATTAAGAATATGATAAGGATCCTTGCATGAATGTGAAATTTTACGAGCCCAAATAATACTAAAAGGTGCAATACAACAGCTTGAAGTAAAAGAACAAACTGAGAAAATTGCCAGCACAAAGAAAATAAGAACGTAAACTGAAGTACACTCCAATGAGCTACAAATCTACCGTATTTGAAGCGTTTCAGAAAAATAAGTATAGATAATATCTGAGCGTATAAAAACGGCAAGGCAAAACTTTCTCGAAGTGGTATAGTAAAATAGACTCTAGTAGCATCTTGTTTATTCATAACATAAAAAAAAGAAGTCAAAATAGTCAGTGGCCAAGACTGCGTCATAAACCACGTGCAGAGACACAGCATGGCCAAGCCGAAACCATGCAAGTAAAACACTGATTTAATGTAAAAGAAAATCGGCTTGACATAAGAATCGGAACCGTAAATTTTATACAAGATGGCCAGAAATATTTCCGGATACAGATTAAATTTCTCCATAACATTTATGGTTCTTCCATGTTCGGTAATACGGTCGTGGGTCAGGTGAAAGAGACCTTCTTCGAAATTTTTTGATTGAACCAACTGCTTGTAATAGGAATAATATAAACCTTGTTCTGTACGAAATGATATCTCTCTTTCCACTTCTTTTATATTAGAAAACCATAAATCATTCTCGTGAAGTGTCTCCAGGTATAAGGAATATTGCCTACAGACGATTACCAAACAGACAAAACTTAAACTTGTGTACACATAATGAATTAAGCTAAAACTTTTTGGTTGTTTATCTTTTTTGTTTGGCTGAGATTCACTGGTTTGTGTTTCTTCTACAATCTCTCCACTTTGTTGCTGCGATATCTTTCTTCTACGTAGATTATCTGACATATTTGCTCACATTTAACTTAAAATATACGTTAATAAACTATATTTTCCTTCGACATCGTTAAAAAAAATAACTTAACAGCTGATGTTCACGCAAATTCGTCACATTTCTTCATGTAGGAGAGAAAATGCACGTGATTATGCTTGACCAATAATATTACTAATATTAATACATTCAATCAAAAC